GAGCTACCTGGGCGAACATGGAGGCGTGTTCGCGGGCGTGGCCGAAGGGGTCGATGTGCCAGGCGACGCGGGGGCGACCGCACGGCCCGAACGTGTCGTTGAGGAACCTCAGGCCCATGGTCATCTGGTCGATGACGGCGCTGTAGTGGGTGGTGGCCTCGTCGCTCATGCACCAGCCGCCATTCACAAACTCCAGGCGGCCTGCAGAGAGAGCGAGGGGGGTGAGGGGGGGGGGGAGGTTATGTTCCGAAACCCTCCCGTGTAAATGCACCAGTGGGTTCATTCACCTTCGTCCACCAGCCGTTTGACGGTCTGCTGCATGCCGGAGCTCTGCTGCTTCCACCAGCGGTAGAAGAACGCCGTCTCCACGTAGATGAACCTCCTGTCGGGGTTCTTCAGCAGCTGGTCCACCACCGAGTCCAGGATGTACTGCACGCCCGCATGCTGGATGTCGTTACGGTCTACACACACACACAGTGTTTAGATTGAGGACAAGAGGGGATTTTACTATAGGAGGTTGTGTGTGTGTGTGTGTGTGTGTGTGTGTGTGTGTGTGTGTCTCAGACAGACCTCCGTAGTAGTACTGGTCGACAGTCTTGAGCCAGCCGACGTCATCGTGCGTGTGAGGGACCAGGTGGACGTTCAGCATGTCGGGTTGAGTGACGTGACATGACTGCGCGCGCAGAAAACACACACTAAGGACACATCTACAGGGCAACGCACTACTGACCTCGGCGGGGAAGGCACACGATGAGGAGACGATGCATATTATTCAAATAGACTCGTTCAGTAGCATTTTGTCGTAAAATGTTCCACTTTCAAACCGACAAAACAGGGAGAGAGAAAACAGCCGGAAATAAAACGGCGTCGAGCTTTTTTTTTTTTAGCCAAACTTTCGTGAAACAGAAAGTAACGCGCAGAGCGGCGGACACGTGAACGCACCTCGTATCCGCAGGCGGGGGTTCGCTCGCCTTCTTGCCCGAGAGGGAAGCTCCAAACCCCGCCGAGGACGAGCAGCAGCAGCGCCGCAGCGGAGCGCAGCAGCGAGTCGACGTCCATGTTGGGAGGGAATGAACCCACGAGTCATGTGACATCTGTTTATGTTCGCCGCGGTCACGTGACGAGGCGAGGCATGGACCGGAAGTGGCTCCCTCAGCTCGGACTCAAAGGTCTCCGACACTGTTCCTTTAAGTGTCCTTATTGCGCTAAAAGAAACAATGAACGTCCATACAAATGTAAACACAATCACTGGATACACGTAACGGCCTTTTAGAAGTATCTACAAAGAAGTATTTACATGTGGTAAAAACTTTTTGTGAGTAAACACAAGAAGTACACACTACTTGTCAATCAGCGTGTAGTCCCGCCCTAAAGCATCCACTGCTTATATATAATTTATATATATATATATAAATATATATATATATATATATTTATAAATATATAATATTAGAGAAACGTATATATATATAAATATATTTTATATATATATAATTATAAATATATAATATTAGAGAAACGTATATATATATATATAAAAAACTAGAGACTGAGGGAATAAATCCAGAGAGAAGGGAGTAATTTTCTCATAGACGTCTATGGGAGCAGACATGAAGACTCAGACACCTTTGGATCAGTTTATTGCGAGCTGAGGTGGAGTGAACGCACAGCAGGTAAACAAGGAATGACGACTTGCTTTACATTTGCATGAAGGAACCGGAGGACACGTGGAGAAAATATTACAAAAGAGTTCATGTCACAGAACCGCAGCTCGAGGAATAAAGCACTTCGTGGTCGATCCAAACCCGAGGCCGCAGTACGCCGTCCGTTCGCGCTTCAACCAGCGAATCATCAGAATCCGTTTCCTTTAAGGCTGCAGTTCAATGTTCAAGTCCTTCTGATCCACGTGGTCCCGTCCAACGTTCGCTGCAGCAACTGTTTAAAGTCACATTCTGACCTTTGCTGAATGGAGGATTTGGTGCGTCAATGAGACTGAAGGCTTTCATGACCCATTAGTCAGCGTATTGAATCCAGACGCAGCATCAGCACAGACAAATAATGATAATGATGAAAGGTGATCAAACCATCTGATTATTGGCTGAACACTGACACAGATATGACGAGCTGCCATGTGAACGTTAAAGGAATAGTTCCACATTTCTGGAGGAATGCTTCACTTTCTTGCCATGAGTGGGATGAAAAGAGACATCAGATTACTCTTAAATTATTCCTTTAAAATGTACATGTTCTAATTTAAAGACCTGCGCCAAAAGAAACTACCTCAATACAATCAACATTCACTGCAAGTTGACGAGGTCGAGATGCTTAAATCCAACAGATTGCCGGTACAAAACATCCAGTCAGTCTACGGAACTCCATTTAAAAAAAGTAAAATCCAATAAATTTGTTTTATTTAAGAAAAAAGATACTAGCGCTGATTACGTCTCAGTATCTTTGTATTGTGGGCAAATAAAGAAATCATTTAATCAGATCTTAAACCATAAAAAAAGTTATTTTTTAATGTTTCTCTACAGCTGTGTTCAGCAGGCACAATAACAAGTAATATGGATATATATATATATATATATATATATATATATATATATATATATATATAATATCCAGCGTCCTGATGGGAATTTGACGGTTGAAGTTGAAGAAGCTGACGTTATAATGTCACTCATTAACTGTGATTGGCTAACTTCTTCTTAGACCCGCCCCTTTTGGACACGGCCCAGGCTGAGACGAGCAGAGGACGTGCAGGAAAAGCATTAATTACTGGATATATTCCACGTTTCAAAAACACAAATAGACACGTATCGACTATTTGTAAAATGTATTTTTAATAGAATTAAAAAAATTCTAATCTTCTCTAAGGAGCAGCCGCCAACAATCAATCAACAACACAAATCAATATAAAAATAAAAGTCAATATATAAAAAGAGACAACAAGCCTGTCGTCTGTCAGAAGCCTTTCTGTAATCCTCACAATAGAAAAGTCGTCGGCGTTTAACACATGTGCTCTATGTGCGGATTGTAGTTCCTTTATAGTCTAACATGAAGTCATGTGACCTCATCCAAAGATTTTTATTGTCAGTTACACACGCCCTGTGTATTGGAATTCTTGTGCTTGCCTTTCCGGAAAGCCGACCAATTTTAAAATAAAAATACAATATTTACATAAATATGTATATATATATATATACACATGATTGAATAAATAAAAATAAAAATGAGGTAAGGAGGAAAAGTGCAAAACTGAGCAGGTTGTAAAAAAAAAAAACTTAAATGAAATGATATGTGCAATATAAATTAACAGTACAGTAAGTGAAATCCTAACAAGCTGAAGTGCAGACCAGTTGTGAGTCAGGTTAGGTCAGGTCAGGTGAGTCCTCTCAGCTGTTGACAGTTGGTGGTCCTGCATTTGGCACTGTACCTCCTGCCTGAGGGTAGAAGCGTGAACAGTCCATGTTGGGGGCAGGGGGGGGGGTCTTTGAGAATGGAGGCAGCGCTCCTGTGAACCCCGCGGTGGTAGATGCTCTGCAGAGAGGGCAGTGGGGGCTTGATGATCTTCTCCGCCGTCCTCACCACTCTCTGCAGATGTTTGCGGTCCACGGCGGATGCGCTGCCGTACCACACGGTGATGCAGCTGGTCATTGGAGCTCCTTCAGAGCCGTGAGCTCACTTCAAACAGTCTAATAAACCGTCTCGTGCACATTTTGTGTTAAATGTGGACTATTGAGATGAAGGTCTTCACCAGGGCCATGAAGACTCTTTCCCATCCGTCAAAAGGAAGTTTATAGGTTTCTGTTTGGTTGCATCTTTAACACAAAGCTAAACGCTCTTATGACTTCCTCACTTTGTCCGTCCGTCATGTGGTCCCATCCCAGATAGGGACCCGAGCGTGGTCCAGGTCCGGGTCTCACGCAGAGCTCGGAGCAGGCGGACGGACAAAAGCCCCCGTGAGGGGCTCCGGTCCCTCGACTCCTGCGACCCTTTCTGCTCAGAGCTGCCATGCGCTCAGCGTCAGAAAGAGCCTCTTTCAGCCGTAAGCGGATCCTGGGTCTTTCAGCGACCAGGGTGTGCCCCGGCCGTCTTTGGTTTACTCACGGGACCGCCGGGGCGGAGGGGAGGGCCGGTCCTCCCTGGGCCTCGTAGTAGGGGAGAGGGTGGAGAAGAGGAGGGAAGCAGCTGATAGGGGAGGAAGGAGAGAGAAAGGGGGGGGTGGAGGGACGGATGTAAGGCGAGAATGCTGAGAAAGGAAAAAATAAACAAAGGTGGCGATGAGGGTCTGAGGTGAATTAATTGTATCACGGTCTTTCTCTCCTTGGTGCCGGTCTCCAGAGACCAGAGACCGGGGAACAATGGAAACAGTATTGGACGGGATGAGAGAGACCTGCAGTCAACTGGCTGGGTAACACGTATGCTGATGATATAAATAATCTACTCTAACATGTATCTCTTTTGACGCATCTGTACTAAATGTACCAGTAAATCATTTCTTTCCCCTCTAGTAAACGTAATCATGACAACCTAACGCTGGTCAACTTGTTTTACCATCAGATCACAGCAACTTGTGAGACATAAAGGATGGTAACGCTCACATACATCATAATTCTCTAAGCCCTCAGGGGCCCGTAGCGTCCACACCAGGAAGAGGTACAAAATGCCATGTCAATAAACCAATAAAGTCCACAAAGACACAAAATTTCAGGAAAGAGACGGCATGACCACAAGGAATTCCCCAAAGAGACAAAACTATTCCAAAAAAGGAGCAAAGAGATGCAAAACCCAAACATTTAAGATAGTAAAGCGTCTTCCTCCTACAAAGGAGCAGCAATGGAGCTGCGTGCAGGTGGTTTGAGTAGGAAAAGATGTTAACTTCTCAAATAAATGGGCTCATTATCAACCGGAAGTACTATTGCAATTCTCAAACTAGCAGTTTATTGTGAAATCCACGGCAGGAAGTCGCACCACTTCGGTTCCATGTAGCTTGACTACTGGTGTCACTGGGCAGGCAGAGTCTGTGACAAGTCACATACATGCGAGGGACCGGAGATGAGAGGAGGACAATCAGCTGTATCCTCTTTGAAACAGGAGGGACACCAACCCTACAAATCCATTACAGCGATTACATCATTCTGATAACAACAGGCATTCAACTGAATACTTGATCAATGGGGAACTGCCAGGATTCGGTTCAAAAAAGGAGGAAGACGTTGTGATGATGGAGAAGAAGCCGCCAAATAACAACTGAAAAAGAGCATGAGGAGAAGAAGAGGAACTCGGTTTTCATGGGATCTAAATGAACACAGAACTCCACCATGCGGAGGAGATCGATACGTCGGAAGTTGCCCGTCTTGATCGCCGCCTTCTTCTTCATTCTCTACGTGGATTTTCAATTAAGCACGAGCAGCCATCCCAAAGTGAGCGTGGCCCCGGCCAAGGGGCCCCCGCGGGACCCGGCTCCCAGCAGGGGACCCCCGCCCTCCGAAGGGGCCCCGCGTGCTGCCGCGTTGACGCTGGAGGACGTCTACGTCGCGGTGAAGACCACCGGGAGGTTCCACCGGACGCGCCTCGCGCTCCTGCTGGCGACGTGGATCTCCAGGATCAAGGCGCACGTGAGTGACGGAGGGTCTGTCCTGCGCGGACACCCTCGTATGTCGTAGCTCGTGTGTGAGAAAGAGCTTTCACTATTCGAGAGGCGACATTCATGAAATCATTCACTTCCTGCTGGCAACTAATGCAAAGATTGACAAACCCCAGAATCTCATTTCCCACAAAACCGACAGGCTGACAAATATAAACTTTTAAAGGGTTTGTCTTTTGTCTCAGACACCAAGTAACAAACTTTTCAGGTGAGAACCAGACTTTGATTCTACAAGAAGTCCGGCGTCGATCGCCCTCCTTCCCTCCTCCTCTTTCACTTTAGTTCTTGATGAATGACAAAGTGACTTATTCACCTCTGCTCTAATATTCACCTGTACAGTGAAACACAAAACTACTACAAAGAGACACACAAGTAACCCACAAGGACACAAGATGACTTTAAAAGAGACACAAAATGATACAAAAGGACCTCTCAGATACAACAACAACCCACTGCCCAACATTTCAGTTGCTTTAAAGCAAAACCAAAACAAAGTGAACCACATGAGCAGCAAGAGGAAGTGTTCATCCGTCAGCTTCTCGTTTTCAGAGGAGAAATATACTTTCTGAAGAAGAGACACGATTCTTCGGGGTGAAAGAATAATGCAGTGGGTGAATTCCTGAAGATTGAACATGGTGTTTCATGGTGTAATAGAATACGGCCACACTGGACGCATCTCTGATGCAAGTGTAGAGACAGCCACAGGAAGCTGCAGGCAGGTTGTCTGCGCCGTGCGGAAGCAGCTACTGTGAACAATACTCAAACGGAAGCTGGTCGTAGAACAGGAAGTTGCGAGGCTGATTACAGAACTGAACCCTAACCCACCCAACCCCCCCTCCCCTCCCCCCCCCACACACACCACACACCACACAGCGTTGTCTGAAACGGCAGCGCTGTGACAGAAACGTTCCCTTAAAAACTGGATCAGTCCTGAAAGCGTCGGCCAGCTATCGTCGTCAACGCGGTGCTTGTGAGGATGTTTAATAAGTACGTTGTTCACTGTGTTCCCCCTCTTAGCATTGTGTGTTAGCATGCCAATGACTAATCTACAGATTGAGACTAATGTTTCTGATACTGAGGGAATAAATCATGAGAGAAGTTGAGTCATTTTCTCATAGACTTCCATAGGAGACAGAGGAGTGGCCCCCTGGTGGTCACTATGGAGAATGCAGCTTTAAGACGTGAAGCATCGACTTCATTCAACAGAACCGAAGGTTTCCATCATTCATAAACCAAAAGCCTTGGACATATTGAACGTTTGCCTTAATGGTTTGGCTGTGGAGGCAGCCAGAGGATGGCTGAAGACAGGAGGAAGTTATACAAAGCAAAACAGGCAGTTTCAACCTGCGCAAATGAGAAGAGGGTTTTTCTTCCGTTTGTTGAGCTGCACTGTGCGATTGAATATCAATCAGATTTGAATGTGGACACATTCATTTGGGATAAATCATGTCGAGATCCAATCTGGAGACTAGACATCGCATTCTGTGCGCACAGAGAATCAGGCTCTCTGTTTCACGCTGCCTTTTTATTCAAGCTAAGCTAAAAGGAGATAATTCAAAAAAGGCATTACGCGTATTTCCCATTTCACAACTATTATGAATTAAATCACGTTGTCCAGAAAACCAAGGAATTTCAAAAGTATTGATTAAAAATCATATTGCTAACAAGACGCTCCATGCTGACAGCCTGGTGTTGTCTGGTTTCAGTGCGGATATGTCAGTTTGAGTTACGACCTGGGGTGGGGAGGAAACTGGGGTGGTGGCACTTTCTCCGTTTTTCGTATCAGGGCAGATGGTGGTGGTGGTTTCCTTGGTGATAGTGGTGAGGAGGTCTGAACCAGGTATCTCGTTGTTCCTCCTGCTGCAGGATGGGAGGACCAGAGGGTTTACGTTACGGTAAACATTGTGAAGAGTATTTAAAACTGATGAAAGGACTGAGGTTGGTACTGTATCAGAAATGGACATGGTCCTCGTAACGTCAGATGTTGGTTCTCGTTGACATGCTGGTTTTTTTACACCAATAAACCGAAGTTACCAGGTCTGGAATTCAAAGCATTATAAGTCCCCGGTACAATTTGGTCAGTCACAATAGTCCCGCCCTAGAGTGTTATGGTCTGTTTGACTGTAAATGGACCATAATTTACTAAATGAACATCATGGTGTATTGAAGACTTGACACTGGGGATTGAGACCACAAACTCATGTTTTCATATAGGACCAGAAGAGTTGCCCCCTGGTGGACAGCAGAAAGAATGAAATACATATAACACACTTTGAAGTTGGTTAAGGGCCAGGCTCTTTTTGGAAGTCAGTGTGTCACACTGTGAACATGTGTTGGTCTCCATATGTCTTATAGGTCCATATAGGTCTTCCCAAACCCTGACCCTAAAACCCTCACCCCAGAGCCAAGTTCAAACGCCCTCACGCTCAAGGTTTAAAACTCCAAGCCAGGCAGAGGATGGTGGACAAGAACAAAGATCTGGATGGGAGCTTTAGTGCCCTCCACTGGACAGATGAAGGTTCAATTTTCTCTTCTTCCCCTCTCGGTCCACAGCAGTCCTTGTGAACTGTATGACTATCAGAAGTTAATGAAATCAGAAATATTTCTTTGATATTTTTTAAATCACACACACACACACACACACACAACACAAACAATTGTTGGAGTTCCCCTTTGGGTATTTTTAAAGCTGGATTTTACCAGCTTTGAGTCTAAACTAGGTGGTGGGGACATTTATGGTGACATTCTTTTAAAAAAAGATTGACATTTTTACTTTTTGAAGATTTAACTGAATTGTTTCCTTTTTTTTCTAAATAATTTGACAGAAGATTTTTGTCCATATTTCTTCTACCTACATATTGATCTATTGATATATGAACTAATATTTTACATTTAATTTAAATTTTCAATCTTGACACCAAATATTTTGACCGTGTATTTAAAAGCAATACTTAATTTTCCTTCTTCCAGGCGTGGAGGTGATAAGAGAGCTTTAAAATGCACGCTCGAAACATTGAGTATATGGACAGAAATACGCATTGCTACATTTCTGATCCATATAGCTGGTGCTTCGATGATCCATCCCTCTCTGAGGTCACTTTACTGCTCGCCCAGCTAGGGATGGCCAACGCAAAGGCTTTCCAGGTTCCAGGATATAAAACACCCACAGTAGACTCTCCAACTACAACAAAAGCAATGTACCAATTATTGCAAAAAGGTGACGACTGGAAATTCTCTGAATGTTTTTACAGTTGTACACCACCAGAGATCAGTGTTGTATCATCTATCTATCTATCTACAGTGGGTACGGAAAGTATTCAGACCCCTTTCAATTTCTCACTCTTCGTTTCATTGCAGCCATTTGCTAAAATCAAAAAAGTTCATTTTATTTCTCATTAATGTACACTCAGCACCCTATCTTGACAGAAAAGAAACAGAAATTAAGACATTTTTGCAAATTTATTAAAAAAGGAAAACCTGAAATATCACATGGTCACAAGTATTCAGACCTTTTGCTCAGTATAAGCACCCTTTTGAGCTCGTACAGCCAGAAGTCTTCTTGGGAATGATGCAACAAGTTTTTCACACCTGGATTTGGGGATCCTCTGCCATTCTTCCTTGCAGATCCTCTCCAGTGCCATCAGGTTGGATGGTGAACGTTGGTGGACAGCAATTTTCAGGTCTCTCCAGAGATGCTCAATCGGGTTTAGGTCAGCGCTCTGGCTGGGACGGTCAAGAATGGTCACAGAGTTGTTCCGAAGCCACTCCTTTGTTATTTTAGCTGTGTGCTTAGGGTCATTGTCTCGTTGCAAGGTGAACCCTCGGCCCAGTCTGAGGTCCTGAGCACTCTGGATGAGGTTTTCTTCCGGGAGATCTCTGTACTTGGCCACATTCATCTTTCCTTCGATTGCAACCAGTCGTCCTGTCACCTGCAGCTGAAAAACACCCCATAGCACGATGCTGCCACCACCACGTTTCACTGTTGGGGTTGTATTGGGCAGGTGATGTGGAACTTTCTCCCATCTCCCTACTGCATCTCTGGAGCTCAGCCAGTGATCTTTGGGTTCTTCGTTACCTCTCTCACCAAGGCTCTTATCCCACAATTGCTCAGTTTGGCTGGACGGTCAGATCTTGGAAAAGTTCCGGTCAACCCAAACTTCTTCCATTTATGGATTATGGAGGCCACTGTGCTCTTAGGAACCTTGACTGCTGCAGAAATTCTTTCATAATCGTGGCCAGATCTCTGCTGTGCCCCGATTCTCTCTCTGCGCTCCTTGGGCAGTTCCTTCCACCTCCTGATTCTCATTTGCTCTGACGTTCGCTGTGAGGTCTTGTATAGACAGGTGTGTCCCTTTCCTAATCAAGTCCAATCAGTTTAATTACACACAGCAGGACTCCAATGAAAGAGTAGAACCATCTCAAGGAGAATCAGAAGAAACGGACACCATGTGAGTTCAATATGAGAGTCACAGCAAAGGGTCTGAATACTTATCACCATGCGATATTTCAGTTTTTCTTTTTCAATACATTTGCAAAAATGTCTACATTTCAATTTTTTTCTGTCAAGATGGGGTGCTGAGTGCACACTAATGAGAAATAAAATGCACTCTTTTGATTTGAACAAATGGCTGCAATGAAACGAATGAAAGAGTGAAATATCTATTCATCAATCTCTCCATCTCTACTTATCTATCCATCCATCCATTACAGGATAAATATCTGACATCTGACGTAGTTAAATCACTTTTTGTTATTTCTGTTTTTATTTTTTATAGACGTTCATTTTCACAGACGTGGAGGATGAGGAGTTACAGTCAAACGGTGAGCAGCTTTATTTACCTCAAATATAGATTTAGATCAAAAGTATGTGGCCACTCGGTGATGTTTCTCTCTCTCTCTCTCTTAGATTGAATGATCACTCCTTTTTTTCTTGTTCTCATTTTATTTGTTCTGGAAAAAAGTACATTGTGAATGTTGACAGTATAAGAATGTGTGAATCCTTTGACACAGAAAAAACAATCTCCCTCTGTCTCCAGGTTACAACATGGTGGTGACGGGCTGCCAGTCAGATCACAGTCAGCAGGCTCTTTCCTGCAAGATGTCCGCCGAGTACGACGGCTTCATGGCCTCGAACCACCGGTGAGACATCCGTCTGTCGTCCTCTAACACGCTGGATTCAAAAGGTTCCAGCAGAGCTTACAAACTTTGATGGTCCCCGCTGAGGATTTACTGCCATCACTTTATTACCTTTACAATTCATTGTTTTTGTATTGTAAACATGTTGCATGTGTATTATTTCCCAGCAGCAATCTCTCAATCAAACAGACACAAAGGGGAAAAGCAAGATACAAACACACAGGATGCGGAAAAAAAACGGCAAAACACCAAAGGGGTCTTCTCACGTCCTCTTCACCTCTAGGGGGCATTATTATGGCTCCCCAAAGGCCGGGTCGCTGCTCCCTCAATGGCAAACAGGTCGGAGGTCACCAGCACCTCGAGCCATGCTCACAGTTAAAACTAAGTTATCCATTAATGAGTAAAAAGAAACAACTAAAAACAAACTAAGATGTTAAATTATAAACTTACTTGCCTTGTCAGTCGATGCCAAGTGGTCTCTAGAAGTAAACTGTGGAACTGATGTGTTCTGACAGCCTCTCACCTACGGTTCTGTGAGGAACAGTAATGACAGCAATGTTGCTCATTTGCATAGTAACATGAAAAGACCAGCTCCTCCAAACATTTAGGAATTTAGCTGTTCAGTGACATGTATGTTTGGATGACTAATTAATCGTTGGGGGATTTATAAAAAAAAAAAGAAGAAATTTCAGGCCTCCCTTTGGTTCTTCCTCCAGATGCACTTCATTCTGCGACCACGACTAGTTTACTTTCCTACCTTCCCTGTCAATGTGTGTCTCGATATGAATGTGGCCGGGTCTGCAGACCCCCTTGTGGGGGGGGATCAGGGGGCACTATGTCCCCATCTGCAAGGCAAAGGTGAAGGAAAAGGGACACAGTGAGGAGAACGACCCTTCATCTCTGGGTCCTTGAAGGAGGTCGCTGGGTCTGTGGATTTGATACCTGTGCTCGCCCTGTGGTGCCGGTGAGGAGCCCATGGAGCCCATGGAGCTCACAATCATCGCCATGACGTGTTGTGAGGGCCTCTTTCCCTGTGTTGATGATTTTGTTATTTATGTGGACATAATTATGTGGCATCTCCTCTGGGTCCTCAGGTGGTTTTGTCATGTGGACGATGATAACTACGTGAACCCGGAGGCCCTCCTCGCCCTCCTCTCAACCTTCCCCCAGGACGCCGACATCTACGTGGGCAAACCCAGTCTGGACAAGCCCATCACTGCTCACGAGCTGCTGGAGGGCAACGCCACGGTACGCTTACCTGAGTGTTTACAGATTCAACGGAAGGATCGCTTAGAGGGGGGGCGCGCCCCGCGGCATCAAGGGAACAGAGCTCTAGAACACCTCCGCCGGGGGGGTTTGTGTGGTGGAGGGTCTTTTGTGGTGGAAGGTCTTTTGCATGAACTGATCATATGTCTGCTGTTTCAGCACCACGGACAGCACCACGTTTGCTCATTTCACTATGAAATCACTTGCTGCTGACGTGTACCAGATGCCTCAATGTTTCCCCAGAGCTGTTTCCCCAGGATTGGAAAAGCCTCCCCACTAAAACGCCTTCCAAACAGAGGGAGAATTTAATTGATGTTGACCGTTCGCTCTGGGAGGCGAGCTGACCCCTCTGAGATACATTACCTACTTAAACGGACAGATTGATGTCCTTCTGTCCTGCTTCCGGATTTCTTCACCTCCTGTTTTCCATCTTGAACTTCTCCGTCTTTTTTCCTGCTGTTTCTTTGCACCGATTATTTATTCCTTCTTCCCCACCTGGACGGACCTGCTGTGTGATTCACTCCCCTGGTTCTCGCGAAAGGCTTCGCCTGCTACTTCTTCTACCCTTTGCTCTCGGCTTCGTTTGCATTCTTTTGTCCTTCCATCTGTCTTGGTTTCCTTTCTTCCCTTTTTCGATGTTGCACTGTGGGAATATTCCAAACTAAAGTTACTGTACAAGTTAACTTCTGCCATTTTAATCATCTAACTTATTGGAGGTTTCTGAAGCATTTTTATCCGCCGCTCGGATGTTTCTCAAGAAATAGTCTTCTGTTTCTAAAAGAAAATTTGAAAGGTTTGCAGGTCACGTCAACTGCAAGAAAAATCCATGTTTTACTCTCCTAGTTGAATAATTTTATTGTTAATCTCCGCCGACTGGAGAAACTGAGCTTTAATTAAAATGACATTTTTAACTCCCAAAACAGATAGCGCCATAGTCCAGTGTGTCTGTCGTTTAAGTAGAGGTTATCTGAGGTGAATGGCTGCTAAAGGGACAAAGGGACAAAAAAAGAGGCCAACTTTGTGAAAAGAAGGAAATCTCATTTGTTTTCCTTGTTTTATCCGGCCGTGGTTCATTCCTTCATTCCTTCTTGTCATTTTGATGCTCTGGGGCTCCAACGAGGACACTAATGATCTGGAAAACAAAGCTGATGTCTCTTTTTATTGGTTTTGTGACAAAAAGCAGCCCGGCCACGTTAACCACTGCCATTCAAAATCAATACGGTCCAAATCAATACTTACAGTTACTACTCTCATCAATGCTTATGAGACACGAGGAGAGATGATGGATGATGAACAGATGGAGAGATGGATGGAGGACTATGGCTGGATGCATGGAGGTTGGAGCACGATGGATGGATGGACTGATAGATGGAAAATGATGGATGATGATGGAGGGATAAATGGATGGATGGTTAAGATGAATGAAGGATGCTTGATGGAGGGATGGATGGACGCAGGATGGAGGATGACGGATGGAAAGATGGATGGAAGAAGGATGGAGGATGATGGATGGATGATGGATGGACACAGCTATTCACAGGTGTAACTATCGTTAGAGCCAACAGGAAATGAATAGTATGAAAGAAAATGGAGAACACAGGAAGGAATAGAAAAGAAAGATGCACTGGAATGAAAAGTACACAAAAGGAATCGAACGCAGGAGGATGAACGGGAAATGTGACCGAGAAGTGCAAACACGGGTCACCAACTCAATACATTGAAGAAGCCAACAAACACGTAGCATCAGCTGGAGAAATGAGCCGAGGCCGCGGATACAGACGTGTAATTCATATAAGGGGGTTTGGAAAGGACCGAACGATCAATACGAGTCTGAAGGGAAACCAGATAGGAGAGAAAAAGTGTTATTCAGGGTCAGCGAGTGACGCACTCCTTCCCTTCTTTTGTTGTTTCAGATTTCATCCTTCCGACATCCATCGGAAAAATAACCAGAACAAAAAACCCTGAAAACCGCGTTGAATGAGCCTCCCTTTGTTCCTACATTAAGCTTCCTTGCATACAGATGTACGAGATTCCATTGTACAGATCAATTATCCAAGATAACGTGTTTTTAACTGTTCTATTCTGCACGCCGACTTCTTTGATTCCTCTTCGCTTGCATCCGTCATGGTTCATGTTTCACAGAGGAGAAGAACTAAAACCGTAAAATACTATTGAATGATCAGCGAGCGGCTCGGTGTAGCTCAGTATGTACATACAATATATTTATATATATATATACTGTGTACTGTATGTACATATCAAGCTATATATGTATGACCTCGGTGGTGTATTTGTCAAATATCTGTGGTTTGTCTCTCAGAGGGAAGTGCGGTTCTGGTTCGCCACGGGCGGAGCCGGGTTCTGTCTGAGCCGGCGGCTGGCGGAGAAGATGGCTCCGTGGGCCAGGTACGTACCCAGTGCAGGTTACCCCGTCTCACCCCGTCAGCTGCTATCAGACATTACTTTAGTTTTTGCTTCCTATTGTTTACTCGCCACGCCGTGACGAACCAGGGAGATTAAAGGCCACAATGACCCCACCTTTGGGGCTGTGAAGGGACGGTTCTCACACAGGAAGAAGTCAATGTGGAATTATTTGTCCCAAAACTGCTGTCCTTAAATGGCTGAAAACCACCATGTTTAAGTTTAATTTGAAAAATCGTTATGCATGAACGGAGATTATCATACAAACCAATGTTGACTTCAGCCAGGTAATCCGTCCCAGTCAACACAGTTGCCTTCGTTTGGCATTTGAGACCCTTAAATAAATGACGGATATAATTAGATTACAACGGCCTCTTGCTGTAGGTGAACACTTAAAATCCTGGTTCCATAGAAACACCTGAACGCGCCGACATTTTCCAAACAGCCTCTTTCGCCAGTAGAAAAACAAACACATCAACGTCCACAGTGATGAATCGCCGACCTAAAGTCAGTTTGTATTCAACCAGCTGAGACCCCCGCGGGGCTGCAAGGCGGGGAGAGCTCACGGCGCTCTGGAGTAGGTCAGCAGTAAAGTACACGCAATAAGTGGTTAATGGGCCGAAACATGCAGAACCTGCAGCATCGGCCTTTCAGTTCAAGTGTTTAGAGGTTTGTAATTGTCTCCCCTCATAACCAGAAAGGTGATGTGATGCAAACGTGACTTCAACCTGCATCTTGTAAGTCTAAAGGAAGGTGTGTGTGTGTGTGTGTGTGTGTGTGTGTGCGGGTTCCAGCGGGCCGCGGTTCGAGAGGACGTCGGCGACCATCCGTCTCCCTGACGACTGCACGGTGGGCTTCATCGTGGAGAAGAGGCTGGGCATCTCCATGGTCCACTGCCCTCTGTTCCACTCCCACCTGGAGAACCTGCTGCTCGTCAGCCGCCGAAGCATCCTTCACCAGGTAGCCCCCCCCTCCCTAACCCCCCCCCCACCCCAACACACACGCACACACACGTGTCTTATTACCTGTGTGTGCTTGTGTCCGCTGCAGGTGACTCTGAGCTATGGGATGTTTGAGAACAAGATGAACAGCATCGAGGTGAAAGGAGGCTTTTCTAAAGCGGACGACCCCTCCAGGTTTGTACCCCCCCAGGCCCCCATCGGCTGGAACCTTCTGCTGGTTTCCTGTGCATGGTATCGATCCTCCTCTTAGAAGACCCCCCCCCCAACAGCTCTGACCCGACCCTCCAGCTCCAGTTCACCACCTTCTCTGTTCAGTCAGAGATAAAAGCTATTTGATGTAACACAACTGTGTCCTGGGAACAATGTGAGCTGCTTTCACCCCCCCTCCCCCCCTCCCCCGCTGAGCTCAGAGGTTCAACAGAAGGAACGCAAATATCCTCATGAAAATGGGGGGGTGCAGGGGGGTCCATCGGCTCCAGGTGGTGCAAAACACTTTCCGTCCAGGAGCAAATGTTTCCCACGCATTTGCATCTCAGACAGAACAATAATACTAATAATACGAGATGTTTTACAATCCAGACTTCGTCCAACATCCCTTAACGTCTCTCTTAAACGTCCTTCTGCAACGTCCCTCTTAAACGTCTCCCTTCAACGTCCCTCTTCAACGTCCGTCTGCAACGTCCCTCTTAAACGTCTCCCTTCAACGTCCGTCTTAAACACACAGGAGCCACAGTTGACTGTGCGTATTGTTATATAACATAATAATTTAATATAATAAAAAAATATTATATAATATGTCATATAAGGACGGACATGATGCTGCTTTAGTTGAAGTGTCGTCGAGGCTTCAGAGGCTCTGACTCACGTAGTTTCCCCTTTAAATGTCAGAGAGGGTCACCCCCCCCCCCCCCCACACTTTACACCACAACATTGGACATTTCATTTGAATATTAATACCTTAAAACAAAGTGGACATTGCATGACATCATCTGGAACGACCACGCTGAAAGTCAAAGCCGATTCTTCTTCCTCTGAGTTGCTTTTAACCTCTCGTGTCCTTTGCAGGTTTAAGACGGTCCACTGCTTGCTGTATCCCTTCACCAGCTGGTGTCCTTGAACTCCTCCATAGAAGACCTCCGCCCGGGTGGAGTACTTCACCTGTGTGTTGTCTCCTCCAGGAGAGAGCAGATGGATGTCGGTCAGAGACGTACGGCAGGCGGTTTCCTCTGCCTGCTCACGAGAGATGAAAGTGAGGTTCTTCTCTTCTTCCCCGGACAGACGACAAGCAGACAAGACAGTGCAGCGCTTATGGTTTTCACAGGAATTTCAACAAAAATCAAAGGAATCTTTGTAAATTGCACAGACAATTTTCCACGGACCTTGACTCTGATACATATTTGGTCTGTTGGCATCCAGGACTTTAACGTAGCGTCCCTCAGTCGTGCATGAAGGTCCCACGCCTTCCTAGTGGATTCCTATTGCTCCTCCTGCGGCTCCCTTTCAGCTGACCGATGTTAGCAGCGTTAGCCGCTAGCTGCCCGGCGGCAGCCGTCGCCATGTTGAGAGCCGTAAGGAGTCAATCGATGGTGCACGCAGCACGAGGTCGCCGCCGTCGCCTGATTTACCTCCAGGTTGAAGTTGCCAAATTTATTTCAGTTTTCTTTGATTTGTTGTTTTTGGCCTCGTGTGTGTGTGTGTGTGTTTTTATGAAGGGGACGGTGTCCTTGTGCCGATGGAGTCTGCACACAATAAACAATTCTGACCTGCATCTCCCTCCTCATCCAAGCCTCCTGTCCTCCCGCCCTCCCTCCCTCCCTTTTTCTCCCTCCCTCCCTTCCCCTCCAACCCTCCCTCCGCCCCGAGGCGCTTCACCCGGAGAGTAAAATGAGCCGAGCCTCAGTTGCATTTATTCATCACCTCGAAATAAAACAAACACAAACCACTGAAGAAGATCACAGCTGACGTTGCTGAAACCTGCCCCCCCCCACATCTCCCTCCTCTCCCCCTCTCCCCCCCTCCAACAATTAAGTACGCTTGTGTGTCACACTGAAGGTGATGAGATCCATGAGAAAGCTGCTCCTCCCCACGGAGACCAGAACCAGCTCTCATTAGCAGGCGTGAGGGGAAACCCGGAGCACGAGGGCCGGAATACTAATCTCACAAGGACCCGTCACACCGCGCCGGCCGGTTTGCCGTCACGTCAATACACACCGGTGGTTACAGAAAGGCCCCTCAGTGGTCCTCACGCTGAGATAAGGGGAAAGGAATCGGATGTTTAGGTGATGCGTGTGTAACAGATCGAAATGACCAATGAAGATTTGTTGCACGTGGGTGTGGAGCATTTGGAGGATGTGTTTTCATTCAAAGCGCTGCGTATCAATGCGCAGTAAAGATTCAAGGATATTAATCTAGCAAAAGACGCAATCTTCCACGTTGCACCTTTAACGACTTGAAGAACCTTTCATATTCACCGAGTTTGTGCATCTTCAATATTTATTTGCTCTTCGTGTCCAAGTGTGTGAAAATGAAGTTCCGGCGTTGAGCCGATTTATGACCTCGGCCATAAACGTGACTGACAGGGAGCAGAGGAGCGTTGGGCTGTCGGAGCATCGCTGTCCCTCTTCTCCTCTCTCCCTTCGTCCGGCCTCGAGAACTGGCGGATGGTGGAGAGAGGTGGGCCGCCAGAGAATTCACTGAATTACCATTTGACGCATCATGAAGTCACGGTCAGTTCCACGTCATCAAGCGGGACAGCGGGACACCCTTTACATTTAAACCAGAGCTGTAAACAGAACTTCTGAAAGCATCAAATACGTAACGGCTTTTCGAGAGAGATTCTTCCAGTTTCATTCACTCGGTCACCTCTGCGTTCCATCCCGTCCACGGAAGGGAACGTCAAATACTGGCATTAATGGAAAAACTGGATCTGTATCTGGCTTTCACTGCCTGCACGTCTGCCGCCGGCCAACCCATTTATTCTTTGGTTTTTATTTCCTCGGCTCTCCTGCTCTTTAAAGGCCCTTATTTCTGCTTTTGTATTTTTCCTCTCCTGCATGTGCTGAACGTAATGCAAAGACGTCAGGCTACTGTGCGCTATGAGTGTGTGTCTGTGTGTGTGTGTGTGTGTGTGGGACACAGACATGAACTGTCACACTCACCTGTGGATCAGCGGTGTGTGTTGCAGCCTGAGAGGCCCGTTGGCGGGTTTCGTTACTGTTAAACAGAACTAACTAAAGCCACTATCAAAGAGAGAGTGGACCCGTCCTCCCTGTGAGAGCTTCCATCCAGACACAAAGCTCGAGCCTTTAATCGCCACATGAGGGCTTCAATGCAGACGAGGTGGGGGTTTCCCCTTTGGACCCTCTTTCCGGATCACATTTGGGCCTCTGTTTGATACGAGTCCCTCTGTTTGATACGAGTCCCTGTTTGATACGAGTCGCTCTGTTTGATACGAGTCACTCCGTTTGATACGAGTCCCTCCGTTTGATACGAGTCACTCTGTTGGATACGAGTCGCTTTGTTTGATACGAGTCGCTCTGTTTGATACGAGTCGCTCTGTTTGATACGAGTCGCTCTGTTTGATACGAGTTCCTCTGTTTGATACGAGTCACTCCATTTGATACGAGTCCCTCTGTTTGATACGAGTCGCTCTGTTTGATACGGGTCGCTCTGTTTGATACGAGTCGCTCTGTTTGATACGAGTCGCTCTGTTTGATACGAGTCCCTCCGTTTGATACGAGTCCCTCCGTTTGATACGAGTCACTAGTTGTTGGAGCCCATGTGGAGCTTTTCGAGGCCTTTTGCAATGCGACAACTATTGATGGGAGGCAGAGAGACCTTACGAGAAGTTGAACGAGAGGAGGAACAGACTGGGGGTGAAGGTGGAATCTGGGAATAAGGGTTCAGTTGGGAAATGGAAAAGTCCCACAGACAGGTGGCGAGGAAGAGCTGGGGAGCAAACCCCCCCC